TTCCGGAGGATGAGGCCCAGAAATCAGGATTTTAAAAAGATTCCCAGGTGATTCTAGTGTGCAGCCAAGGTTGAGAACCACTGCTCTAGGTGGTGGTTGCACAGGTGTTCGTGTTTGTAACCATGTTTAATGCACTCGTTTTTGGCATGAATGTCACATTTCACAATATAAAAAACAAACAAACAAGAACATAAAGGGCAGAGTTAACACCATTTTTCTACTACAGTGTGACGCATATCTCTATTAATACAGTTTCACACAAAATATAATTAGGAAATACTCATCTTTCATAAGAAAACTTGAAGTGACACAGCATAGCCTAACATCTTGGGCAGAGAACTCAATCAGCAACAAGATAACGAATGGTTCGCTGGAACATTTGCAGCTCCTCGCGGCATGGATCAGTTTCTCTTGGGAAGATGAGCTCATGGACATCCCACTTTCTGAAGTACATCTTAGTGGGGAAGTCAAACAGGGAAACCGAATAATGCAGCCACACCTCTTCATCGCACGTGCAAAATGCTGGCTCATGCGCTGGTTGTACGCACCTCTCTCCAAAGAACCCGTGCTTAGGAGCCCACTCAGGAAAGATCATACCGGCTTCTAGCCTTTCAGGCAAAAGTCTGTTTGTGCTTTTACTTGTAAGAGAGCATAAGGAAGAATACGGGGCGTCGATTACTCTGCAGCTGGGCTCTTCGAGGAGCCTGACTCGGAGAGGAGGAAACAAGCCCTCTATTCAACACTGAAATGAGCGCTCTCTCCTCCACCGCAAAGCTGACACCCTCAGCGTTCACCTTGATGATGTTGCCGCAAACATTGCAGAAGCTTTGATTGCACTTACGCACATCTGGGGCGGCAAAGCAAGAGGCCAAGCCGCCCGGTGCAATGCCTGCTCTCCCACCGAGGAAAGTCAGGAGTAAAGAAAGTCAAGTGGGTGGGAAATAAAGAGACAAGCAGGAGGCCGCCAGATGGGTAGAGGTGTAGGACTGGGTGAACAAAGTGAAGGGAGTCATCCTTAATGTTTCCTCTGCTCTGGCCCCTCACCATCGAGCAATCACCAAATCCTGTGAATTCCACCTATTCTTCTTAAATGTGTCTACATATCTCCACCTCTGCTGCCATCCCATCCCACCACGCTCTCCAACCTGGATGTTTGCAACGATTTTCCAACTCTGCCTGCTGCGTCTGAGAAGCTCTAAGACAATGTTAGCTAAGAATGTTGTTAGTGGACACTACTTTCCATTCTTTTTATATTAAAAGTTTTAATGTGTTGCCTTTATAATACTTTTTTTTTTTAGTTTTTGCAAGTAGACTTTATTGGATTTATGTGGTTTTGTTCTATTCTTTTCTTCTATTTTTATTAGAGATGGCTGCTGAAATTTAGGAAATGCTTTAGTAATATATGTTTTCTTCCTCTTTAATATATTCATAAAATAAATTATGTTGATAGATTTCCTGATACTGACTCACTCTTACATCCTTGGAATAAATCCTCCTTGCTTACAATGTACTTTTTCATAACATTGCTGGACTTTACTTGCTAAAATTTTACTTAGAATTTTGCATAAGTGAAACTGATCCATGCCTTTTTTTTTTCTTTTTTGGTGCTACCATTTTCATGCTTTGATATTCTACAGCTTTCATCAATGGCCTTGAATAGTTTAGATAATATTGTGATGATCTTTTTATTTTTTTAAATAGAGAAAAACTCAGTTCTGAAACCAGCTGGTCCTTGTGCTTTTGCATATAATATTCTTAGGTTTTCAGCTTTTACTTGTTGATTGTATATAACATTTATTTAAATTATTTTGTGAAATACCTTCAAGCAAGAGAAGCACAAAGTTATATATGGTCTCAGTAATGAGTAAATGAAAGTGTAACATTAAAAAATGGAAAAATCACAAAGTAAACTCTGAAATTCTAATAATTCTTCCTGAGGTAATTGAAGCAAATGCACACATTTTTCATGGAAAATAAGATTAAGCTACAGGAAAGCATTAAGTGAGATATAATACACAAAGGGGAGGGGGGGAAACCAATAGATTATAAGGTTAAATAGCTCAGTTAACTGTCAAAAGAAACTATATTGGAGAACAGTAATATTTCTCCCAATTCTTAGAGATACTCTCCTTAAGAGTATATTTAAATACTATCCTTTTAGAAAGTATACTTGGAGTAATGTTGAGTTCTTAGAATCCCTGGTAGGTTGGAGGGTTCGTTTATTGCATGGCTGATGCTCTTGAACAGCACACGCATTTGTTTTCTACCTTTTACCCTGAAATTCCAAACGGAATATGATGTACAGTGAATCTATTACTACTTGTATTTTTAAATAATGACATAGAATGACATGTGTCCACCTATAAAATAGGCCCATTAATTTAGGAATATAAAATAAGTTAAGGGATCCAATGCACTTACAAAAATTTTCTAAAAAGACACAGTTAATGGACATTAAGTTCTTTCTGTAAGAACGCTTCTAGCTCTACTCTCTCTTCTAGACTGGAATAAAAGTAGCAAAATTAAAAGGTCACAATAGCAAGTGTAAATTATATCTGGATTATTACCAGTTTAATTAATTTTAAAAAGGAGAAAGAAATACAACAGAACAATGTAGTTTTTTTCCCTAAGAAAGGAAGTTTT